CCATGTAGACACACTTCTAAGTGTGTCACTGAGGGTATTTCCAGAAATGATTAACTTCAGGAAGACGCCTTCTGAGTGTGAGCAACACTACCCCAGGGGGTAGAGTCCCCGATTAAAGAGGAGAGAACTGACTACCAGAATGCATCCCTCCCTGACCAGCTGCCTTCTGCCACCACACCTACCCCACGAGGATAGACTCTATCTACAATCATGACCGATAATACAGTGTTACCTACTCATGTGTTAGTGTTACTACAATGAGACGCTAACTACTTCAAAAAGGAATACAGAGGAGCATCCAAGATGGTGGGGACCAGCACGCACTGTATCTGAGAAACAGAGGATCTGAAACTCCGAAACTGCTGAGTGGAGAGGCAGCTGAAGCCAGAAAATTGACGTTGAGGCTTCCTGAACGAGAGGAGATGTCACATGAGCTGAAAACATTTAGATTCAGGTCACCCGCGGACTTCTCTGGGGATGGATAGTGCGAACAATCAAAAAGGAATACAACTTAGTTCATTTATTTGTTTGCTATTTTAAGGGAACAGAGTTTCACTCTGTAGCCTGGACCTGTCTTAAACTTAGATTTTTCTATTCTCAGTCTCCTGAGCACTGCAGATTTAGGTCACTATACCTCACACAACATATTTTATACAATCATTTAATTATATTTTTTTCTAAAGTTAATATTCCTAGTTAAAATACCTCCTCTGAGTAGTGAAATAAGTATTGAGTCCATCACAATTTATTATAATTAACCACAACTGTTGTATGATATGTGTATAAATTATATGTGTGTGTTACAGTATGCTATTTGTATTTGTAGTAGCCACTAGATTACATTTTACTGCTTTTTTTTTAAGTAAGAAAGAATCTGACCAGTTTGAGTATATCAAAACATTGCTATGAAGCAAATATCATGAAGAAATAGAGAATTTTAAATTCTAGTAAATTAATCATACATTTCAAAATGCAAACACAATTATCAAATGTATTCTTGAATAAAAAAAGTTGTCTAGAACATATATGTTTTGAAAGCTAATGTTGGGTAGAAGTTGAAGTGACTGTTGAAAACTCAGTGTGCGTGTCCTCTCTCTCTTTGCTTTTTCTAGACACTTCCACACTCAGGGGCTTGGCACACAGATACTGTTAACAAATTATCTGTCCAATAATGAAGTAGCACGAGCCACATAAGATTCAGTAGATGGCAGAGTATGGGGGATGGCTTTCCCATTAAACCACAGCCTTTGTGACGTCACAGCTGCTTTCCTTTGTGGAAGCACACCGGAGTTCACACAGGGGTACAACCAGTCAGCGATACATTTCTCAGAACGTGTCTTTGTGTGACTATACCAAATGCAACACAAAATCCAATTCTCCTGAAAAAACAACAACAACAACAACAACAAAAAAAAAAACAACCAAACTATAATTTGCAGCATAGGTTGAGTTGACACGCCACAGTCACCAGGCACTGACCAGGTACTCAAGGACACTACAAACATAATGTCCCTACCAAATTAATACAAAAGTGTTCAGAATGGAAATGCCACACTAGGCTGTGTGAAACCCTGTCAAAACACAATAACATGCAAAAAATACAAGGACAATAAAAGGTTTTAGATATGTAAAATGGAAGTCTTAACCAATCATTAACACAGAAGTTTATCCCACAACTTTTCCCAATACTTTAGAGACACCTGATTTATGGGCACAGGCAAAGGAGCTCACTCTGTCACTATAAGATATTACTCTTGCACTGTCTGCCATCACATGTAGCTAATTAATTATATACCATTATTTTTGAAAGCACTCCCCCCTCGGGCAACCATATGTGGAGGCCACAGTACGGAGCGTGACCGCTAAATGGAACAGCATCATCACAGAACTTCCCTCTCCTTATGGACATCTACCTGCCACACCACCTACTCTTTTTCTCTAAGTTTCACTTTAAAGCCTCTCCTTGCAGACTCTCCTCTGTAGTCAGCCTCTGACTCGCATAGACTCTTCTTCCTTGCCTATGCAGGTAAATTGTGACTGTAAGACTCCTGGCACCCTTACCCACCCTTACCCACCAAAGACACCTTTATCATATCTGAAGATGCTACACTTGTCTTTAGGGGGAAACCATGCAGTCAGTAGACAGAAGGAGGCTGTTAGGTGTTTACGCAATACCATGTCAGGGATCAACAGTGCAGAGGCCAGGAAGCTCTGCTGCCCATGAGCTCTATACTGGACCCAAATCAGGAAGCTCACCCAAAATTAGATAGGCTGCATCACAAGTCCTTACCTTGTTACGCTCTCCAAAGTTTAAAATACACAATTCACAAGAAAGTAATATATTCGAAGCTAACCTAGACTTAATTCTTAAAACATCTCAGTAATTTAAAAAAGATACATATTTAAATTTTTATTGCTATGAATTTTTATTTAAAGGGCAAAGTGGTTTCTCATAAAGGTTAGATAGATCATTTTCATTTCTTTATATTATATCTTACATGAAAGTTGGGACTATGCCTTTTAAATATTTTATTTATTTATTTGCTCACCGCTACATACAAAGATACACACACATATATTTGTACACAGAGGGTGATAACTTATAGACATACACAGATGTACACATATATACATACACATATATATCTAATGTGTAAAGAAGAATAATTAGGTGTGAATGGCACAATAGAAAGAGCATACTGTAATTATAAAACAAGTGTGAAAAAATAGTACAAGTTTGTATAGGTGTGAGGGGGTGGAGGTTGTTAGGGGTATAAGAAATTACACATTGTGGTGTTAGCAAGGATACTTTAAGATAGTACCATTATCAGGAAAAAGGAAAGAAAATATGCAAAACTCACTTTATAAGCTATAATAGTGTCAGAAGGCTTTACCTTAATTATTTAAATGGTGGGACATGTAAGAACTATCTGAAATGGAGCACATGACAGGAAACTCATAGCGTGAGAAGACTTATAAATTAATAATTCTTGCAATATAGAAGCGGAAAGGGTAATGAATGGGAAGATAATATAGTTTCACATGGTAATAAGTTCCTTGAGGAATGTTAGCAATTAGGAGATGGATGGAAGGAGGTGGTAGATGATCTTTTATAGCAATCAGGGCTTGGAAAGAAAACTGGAGGCTCATGAGAGTGCAGACAGCATTGAAAGTAACATGATCAGATTTGCTTTCCTGAGTGGTGAGTGGGCAAAGTTAAGGAATACTCCCACGACCTGTCAGCACGAACTGGCAAGTAGTTCCCAGAGATGATCAAAAAGCAAAGAGTTGGTTGTTTTCTTTTGGGGTGGTGATCCCAATAATCTACTAGGATGGGGAAACTTCTCATGCACTAGGAGAGATGATGCCAAGGAAAAGCCAATGAACCATGTAAGGGAGAGCTCCTAATGAATAAGAGAAGGGTGAGAAGGAGGCTGGGAAAGATTCAACTACTGTTCATGAGCAGGAGCCATGAATGCATAGCAGAGTTTCCTCATATTCTTTCTTGCATGGCATCTGATGAAGTCAATATAGATTTTCATCACATGAATTGCACCCTATCCAAAGATCTACAACTGGCAGTTTTAATCAGGAAAGTGATGAGTTTTCATAAATAGAGGCACAGTTCTGAAGTGTGCATTCTTCAGAGTTTCCAGAATTATATATGATAAGGGTAAGTATATAAATAGGCAAAATGCATTAACAGATAATTGGTTTTATATATATGCATGTATGTATTATGTGAATTATTATTCACATATATATTGACTGACATGTATGTCATATACATATATCAGTTATTCTGTGATGCTGGTACTATTAATGTGTAAGGAATATCTATTTTATATGAAAGTGTCAAGAATTTTCTGATAGTATTCCCAAGTGAAAGCCTTTGCTATTGTACAGCTGCTCTACTGTATAACAAATCAAACATGATCTGATTTCATAATAATCATAAATGTTCTCTTTCATGTAGATCACAATGTAACTTCCACTCTACTTAGACACCTCTAAAATGTAGACAATTGCCCCATGATGGGGACATTCATATATTTAACACTGGGGATATCTTAAGACTTTTTGGTATAAATAGAATACAAAATCAACCTGAAGCACCAGCAAATTTTAAAACTAGGTTTTAATAACAAGTTTCAGGAAACAAAATAACAAACAAGAAAATAATTTATCCTATCTACTGATGCAGTGAAAAAAAACCAGTCATGTAAATTTATATATGATTGAAATAATAAACCAAATTTAAATTAAATTCTCTATTTTCTATTTACAAAACTTATTTTTACACATGCTATTATAGTTATTTATATCACACTTAATACTTATAAAGACAAAAATCTACAAAAAGTTTTCAAAGTTCCTTGAGCATATCAGGCCTGAAGCACTGACCATTAGTTGACTTTATAATGTTCAGTTTTATTCTCAGCATCAACAGCAAGAAGACTTAGAAATCTTCAGATTCTTAAATAGGAAATGCCAATCTTTCCTTCCTGAGCAAGAAAGGAACTCAAGATCACAGCAAAGTAGTCTTGCTACTGCATCCCTTTGATAAAATTGTCCTTCAATATCAGGCCCTTTATATTTGGAGCATAGCTGATAGGTCAAAGAAAATTTAATCATATTTAAAATCTTCATTTTCTCAAAAATAAATGCCATAAGAAACCAAAGCCTGAAACACCAACATAGATATTCAACTGCACTCCGGTAATACATTTTATATTTGAGGACCAAAACATGGATGTACCTGGCTGTCACATTTTAATTTGAAGAGTACTTAGATCTAAAAATAATAAAGTGTATGACATAACCCGAGGGTCCAGAAGAAGTCTTCATAAAGACAGGCTTTTTGTTTTGTTTTGTTTTGTTTTGTTTTGTTTTGTTTTAATGACCAAGAGTGAAGAGGTGGTTCTGATTTTAACAGGTTCTTACTCATTTCTGGATACTCATTGTTTGTTGATTCATTTGTTCATTGTGAAAGAGCTTACCGTCTTGCTGGCCATGGAGAGTCTGGGGACTTTGCATTCTTTCTTCTAGATTGGAGCTAAGGTCAGAGTTCACGGCTGACATCCTTGTTGAATCGCTCATATCAAATTCATCGCTTTCTATCGAACTCTCATCCTGAAATGGTATGAAAACATCATTAGGCACCATAAAATTTAACTGTGTGCAAATATTAACTATTCTGTCTGTGTGCTGAGTGAAAGGTAAGCTAATTAGTAAACTATTATCAGACTCTATAAAATAGGGTACATATGGAAAGATGCTTGGAACAAATGGTGAAATTATTTCTTCCTTCAGAAAATGTGAAGACTTTTGGATACTCAAACCACATGTTATGCACAGTCCCATTGTAAAGATAGGACAATGTGTTTAGAGGGAGAGTAGTTCGGGAGTTAGCATAAATATTGAAATATTCATAATGACTATTAAGAATTCTTAATGAGTTTGTCTTTAAAACCATGAACGTAAAACATGGTGGCTGAGTAGTATTTCATTGTGTAAAAGTACCACAATTTCTGTATCAATTCCTCCATTGATGGACATCTGGGTTGCTTCCAGGTTCTGGCTATTACAAATAAAGCTGCTACAAACATGTCTAGTACACATGTCCCTGTGTACTACAGCATCTTTTGGATACATGCCTAGGAATGTTACAGCTGGATCTTGAGGAAGCACTATTCCTAATTGTCTGAAAAAGCACCATATTGATTTCCAAAGTAGTTGTACAAGTTTACATTCCCAACAGCAATGGAGGAGAGTTCCCCTTTCTCCATATTTTTTTCAGCATGTGTTGTCACTTGAGTTTTTGATCTTAGCTATTCTTATGGGTGTAAGGTGAAATCTCAAGGTCGTTTTGATTTGCATCTCTCTGATAGCTAAGGACATTGAACATCTCTTTAAGTGTTTCTCTGCCATTCTATATTCCTCTACAGAGAATTCTCTGTTTAGCTCCGTACCCCATTTTTTAAATTAGATTGCTTGATTTATTGCTCTTTAACTTAAAGAAGTTAAACAAGAAAGAGGACCCAGGGTAAGATGATCAATCCTCACTTAGAAAGACAAATGGGATGGACATTGGAGGTAGGAGAAAACAAGTAACAGGACAGGAGCCTACCAAGAGGGCCTCTGAAAGACTCTACCTAGCAGTGTATCAAAGCAGATGCTGAGACTTATAATGAAACCTTGGGCAGAGTGCAGAGAATAATATGAAAGAAGGGGGAGTTAGTATGACCTGAAGAGGACAGGAGCTCCACAAAGACCAAATATATCAGGGCACAGGGGTCTTTTATATGAGACTGTTTCTCCAACCAAGGACCATGTATGGATATAACCTAGAACCCCTGCTCAGATGTAGCCCATGGTAGCTTAGTATCTAAGTGGGTTCCCTAGTAAGGGGAACAGGGACTATTTCTGACATGAACTCAATGGCTGACTCTTTGACCTCTCCGAGCCTCCCCTCCCCGAGGGAGGAGCAGCCTTGCTAGGCCACAGAAGAGGACATTGCAGCCAGTCCTGAAGATACCTGAGAAGGTAGTGTCAGATGTAAGGGGAGGAGGACCTCCCCTATCAGTGGACTTGGAAAAGGGCAGGGAGGAGATGAGGGAGGGAGGGTGGGATTGCGAGAGAATGAGGGAGGGGGCTACGGCTGGGATACAAAGTAAATAACCTGTGATTAAGATAAAAAATTAAAAATATAAAAATGAAATAAAATAAACATGAAAGAAAAAAAATTAAATTTTACTATAAACAAAATAACTTGGTAAAATATAAGCACAGATAGTGTAATGCAGTAAGAATTTTTCATCAACAAACAGGATGGGCTCCAATAATAAAAAAAGATAAATGTATAGTTTTACCTGCTATATTTGATATAAAGCAAGTAACTTTTGATACATTTCACAGAGATGAAAGATAAATGGTAGGTATAGATTACAGATAGGTAAATGACAGCACATAGATAATGGAAATGTGACAGTCCATAGGGAGACAAGCACTAGATAAAAAAGTGATATATGGCATAGAGATAATCGATAGGTAGATAGACAGATGATAGATGATAGATAGTAGATAGATAGATAGATAGATAGATAGATAGATAGATAGATAGATAGAATAAAAATGAAAGGTGGTTCATAGAGAAGAGGTAGGTGATTACATGTAGATAAATAATGCAAATATTTGTGATAGGTAGAACACTAAAACCATAAAAAGAATTCTACATAACATTGTGTAAAACTCATTCACTAAAAGTCAGGTAACGAAAATATTTAGCAAATGGTTAATTAAGGAAAACGTCCAGTGTAAACAACTAATAAAGTGAAACTGTTCTACTTTTTAATTTTTTGAGATATAATTTCAAAATAATTACAATAATTTTACTTCACTTTCCTCCCTCCAAATTTTCCCATATAACTCTCCTTGCTCCGGGGATCATTTTGTCTTTGCCTCTAAATGTTGGGAATAAAGGTGGGAACCATACTTGCTGGACTTCATGGTTATGAGGCAAGTACTTTTTTCACTGAGGCACCTTTCCAATCCTAAAATTGTTATTATAAGTAATTACTTAAAATGTCTTTATTTTTCATCTATCTATCTATCTATCTATCTATCTATCTATCTATCTATCTATCTATCACAATTTATTTACTTTATATCCTGGCTGGAACCCTGTAACCTCCTCCCTCATCTCTTCCCAGTCCCACTTACCCTTCCTCTTCTCCCTCTATGTCCCTTCCCAAGTCCACTGATAGGGGATGTCCTCTTCCCCTTCTCTCTGACCCTAGTCTACCAGGTTTCATCAGGACTGTCTGTATTATCTTCCTCTGTGGCCTGGCAAGACTCCACCTCCCAGGGGGTGGTGATCAAGGAACCTGCCACTGAGTTCATGAAAGGCTTCTGTAAAGCAAAGCATACTGTCATCAGAACAAAAAGACAGAGTACAGACTGGGAAAAGATCTTCATCAACCCTACATCTGACAGAGGATTAATATCCAGAAAATATACAAAGAACTCAAGAAGTTAAACACCAACAAACAAATCCAATTAAAAATGGGAAAAATAGCTAAACAGAATTTTCAACAGAAAAATATTGGATGACAAAGAAACATTTAAGGAAATGTTCAATGTCCTTAGTCATCCAAGAAATCCAAATCGAAACAACCCTAAGATTCCACCTCACACCCATCAGAATGGCTATGATCAGTCAAAAAGTCAAGGGATGACACATGCTGGAGAGGATGTGGAGAAAGGGGAACCATCCTCCATTACTGGTGGGAATATAAACTTGTACAACCACTTTGTACAAATTTGATTTGGCAGTCAATCTGGTGCTTTCTCAGAAAATTAGGAATAATGCTACCTCAAGATCCAGCTATACCACTCCTGGGCATTTATCCAAAAGATGCTCAACCATTCAACAAGGACATTTGCTCAACTATGTTTATAGCAGCATTATTCATACTAGCCAGAATCTGGAAACAACCTAGATGTCCTTCAGATGAAGAATGGATACGGAATAAGATTATTTCTATAAAACTTATGCTTGTGTAAAATGTGTATTTAAAATAAGATCTGGATGAGAAGTCTCATTTTTGTTCCCTGTTCCATACAGGAATGTAAAACTTGATGAACATTGTAGGTATTCAGTATACATTTATCACCATTAAATAACATTTATGAGCATACATTTTTAGAAGCTTGGACAAATGATTAACAAGTTCTTTGATTAAATTAATTCTTTTCCTAATTTGGTTTCTATTGTTGTGATAAAGACTATTATCAAAAAGGAAACAGTGTGATGAAAAGGTTTATTTAGCTTACAAATCTCAAGTCACAGCCCACTGAGGGAAGCTAAGGCAGGAACTCTAAGCAGGAACCTGGAGGCAAGAACTAAAGACCACAAGGAACACTGTTTACTGACTTGCCATATATTTTTGCTGTTTTAAAATATCAACTTTAAAGTATTTGTTATCACCAGTAGATGAATAATTGAAAAAATTTAAAATAAACTTTAACCTTACCATATAAAGTCTGAGACACATCAAAATTTTCTTTAATAAAATATCAATTTTATATATTTATACAGTACTGAATTAAGCTAAAGCATTTACTCATTCAATAGTTATATTCCAATTAGTTTACAATTCTTAACTAAAATATTATTCATAATTAAACAGCAAAGATGTATGTATTGTGAGATTGTTATTTTATTAGCATATAAATAAAGATAACTATAATCAGGGGAAAGCCAACAGAAGACATCTAAGTGTTAAATTTTCAAAGGAAGGTTTTCAGAGATTAGAAAGCATGGTTGTTATTATTATGAGAATCTTCCTCGGGGATCATTTTTAGAAGGTTCTTGTGAAAGCTTTTGTACATAAGCATCTGCTTGCTGTTACAGGATAATCCAGGGTAATTGCACAGATTAAGTTCATGCCTCATAAGACTGAAATGTCACCATAGTACTCAGTTCTATCTAAACATCATTGACAATCTTTCAAATTTCTGAATGTTCCTCTTCTCCACTCAAGAATTATTGCTCATGTCTATACCATAGTATATAAAAGACCCAATAACTACTACACAGGGCATTTAAAAATTGATAATATTTCATCCTTAAGTATTAAAATATGCTGAATCACTTACTATCCATAATAGTACTTTAAATATTCTGATGTTTAAATCCCTTCGTGCATTGCATTCTTATCCAAGCAAAGAAATATCTTCTAGAAGACTTTTTGGTAATTAGTGTTTTCTTCACTCATATTTTGGAGGTTAGTTTTTTTCATGGTATCATAAAACTTTCTCATGTTCTGTTCTCAGTCAATTTTAAAAGTTACCCGACTTCCCTGAGAGGAGCATGGTGTGTGTATATGCCTAGCCTGGCTAGTACAGAGAGAGTCTTGGGGCCCTCTGTAGGCTACCCATGATCCACTGGATGGCTGTACATGGATGCCCATACTGCCATCACTAACTGGACTCAGTGAGGACATGAAACTGGGAGGTAGAATGGGGAATTCCTGAGGGAAAATGTGAGCTATAAGGAGTAGATATGTTCAAAATGCATTGTATGCGTGTATGAAATTTTAATTAGTAGATGAAAAACAAAATATATGTTA